TGGTGTACTTCTTCTTCTTCTTCTTCTTCTTCTTCTTCTTCTTCTGTCTCTCTCCTCTGGTCTTTATCTCTTTGCAAGTGCTTTCATTTCTTTCGCAATTGGGTGGCATTGTCTTTCATTGTGAATTTGCACTTGGGAAATGACCAGGATCGTAACAATTGGTATCGGAGCGGACTTACTTGCTGGTCACCCTAAACCTAATTCCGAGTTAGGTCAGGGCTAACCTAATCTCGGATTAGGGTTGGAAGTTGGGGTTAAGTGGGGCAGTGAGGTATGTGGATACTGCCCCCACCTGGTTAGGTCATGTAGGGTCGACATTTGACCTGACCAGGTTGACAGAGTGAATGGATGGGGTGGCGAGACACAAAGGAGGCTGATTGGAGTAAGCGAGAGGGAGTAGAGAGTGAGAGATACTCGCACCTGGAATCTGCACTTCAAGAAGACATTGAGTGACTTTTGGGCTTCCCCTCAAGAGGGAGACTTGATCAGAGGCTGCCATATCTGCATCGAATCGCTACAAGTTGCTACTTTGGTCTTCATACATCGACGGGGGATCCGGCTTTGCAACAGGGGTGTAGGAAGGCCCTCTTAGTCATGCTAGGACAGTTCGTGTAGTGGTAGCTAGGGGTCAGGAGGACTTATGAGGGAGGGGGGTGACTCGTTATCCATCTTTGAAGGCCGGGCCTCACAGGTAAGTGCCGTGTGACCTGGTTATGCCCGTGGGAGGTTGCTTGGTACTTCATGGCCTGTTGGGGGTGTGCTGGGCTCTCTTCCTCTTCTTTGTGGTCTTGGTTGTGTGTGTGAGCATGTGGATTGCTTTCTCACCTGATGGATGGATGGATGATGTATCTATTCTAAATGACATATCTTTCTACAGTGCATTGTCTTTTAATTCCTGAACGGTTGGAGGGGTAAGTTCTTGCTGAAAGTTGTCTTTTCCTTTTCGGTACGGTAGAGGCAGTTTGGGACCGACTTGGTACCCCTATCACGTTGTTCTTGGTCCACGACCTACTTGGGACCCCTCGGAACCCAGTGGGACCAGGCCCAACGGGACAGGACCTTTTGGGCCCAAATCTGTTGCCGCCTGTGCATTTCTTTGCTGCGCTGAACTTGGGGGACATACGACTAGCAAGGGCATTCCTTTCAAGGGGATCTTGACTGGTCTTACCGCCTGTTATCACATACTGCCCCACGTCTGACTCCGCGACCGTCTACACCCCTTGAAATCTCCATTGCTGCAGTTAGATTTCTTCGGCTGACTTATCGTGATGCATGTCCCTTGTCAGGTTAGACAAGAGGGGATCTCCAACTGATCTGATCGGGCCCGTTCTACAAGTCAGTCCTCTCTTCCGTTTTATTTATTTATTTATTTATTTATTTATTTATTTATTTATTTATTATTTTCCGCTGCGTGCCATTCTCCGAGTCCGAATCAATTGCCGCTCCGGCTAGCAGTTCTACCTTCTTCTCTGTGTGAACTTTCTGATTGTTTCTTTCATATGAACTATCTATGTCCGGTATCGAGACGCGTGCGCAGACAGCGAGAAGAGAAGGAAGGGAGAGAGAAGGTGTTCTGTTTGAGAGTGTGAGGAAGGGCAAGAGGAGTGTTCGTCCCAACATCAGGAGAGAGCGGACCCCTCTTGAGAGATCTACTGACACTCCTTCCTCCGGCATGGCGGACATCACCTCTGCCCAATGGCAAGCCATGCTAGACGCAGGAGAGGAGAACGAGAAACCGTTCTTCCAGAAACTTTATGATGATGCCATACAGAGGGAAAGGGAGGCAGAGGCAGCAGCCAGAGCCACGAGTATAGCTGCTCAGGTGGCCCTCCTTCAGGTCCCGGAAGCCAATGCTGACTGGTTCCAGGAAAGGTTAGCTGCCGTCGTTGCAGCCTTGGTTCAACTGCGGAACTTGGAAGATCTTGAGTCCCGTCTAACAGCACTGGAGCAGCGGAACCAGGAGCTGCAGGCTGAGATAATCAGCCTCAAACAGTCTCAACTGTCTGCCCCCCGCCCTCCTTACCCTCGATCTGCTGCAGTCGCAGTATCTCAATCTAACACAATCCTCATGGCAAGAGCAAGTGGAACTGTGGCAAGCACAGGCACCGGTGCCAGCTCCTCGAGCGGCAGCGCCGACAGTTTTGCACTAGTCATAGTCCCAAATGCGGGGACATCAGCCCAAAACTCCACAGTCCTTACTGGCGTTCAGTACAACGGTCCCATGGTGGACAAGCGGGCGACCACTCTGTCGTCCAAGTACGGCGGGAAAACGGACATTACCTCTTGGATTAGTTCCATGCGGTCATACTTCGAGGTTATGCGGACACCACAAGAGGACCAAAGTATGATCATGGGGACTAATACCGAGCCCGCCGTACGGAATCACATTGAGCTTCAAGCTGTTGCTGCAGGCTATGAACGAATAGACCTGACTAAATGGCTGAAGGTAACCCCAGTACGCACCCTTGAGGACCTTCTCCTTGCACGATACCAAGACAAGCATGCTGCGATCAAGGCTAGGCTGAAGCTTGAGGCCCTCAAGGGTCAAACATGAAGATCCTCCATGCAAGCTTTGGAACAACACTTGACTGGTCTGTTCACTACTCAAGGTCTGGGAATGACTGATGTGTCTTGTATGGATGTAGTCATGGGAGTGGCCCCTAAAGAATACCTCTCCCTGTTGGCACTCAAAGACCATACCACCTGGCGAGAGCTCATGACGGATCTAGTCAACCTAGAAGCCAAGGACCTCGCCAGGCGGAAGAAGGCGCCCGCTGCAGCTGGGAAACCACAACACAAGCGGTTTGGAAGCAGCAACCAGTTTGCACTGCATGATCATCGGGAGACTGACGATCAGTCGCATGCAGATGATCTGTCTCTAGATGACGATCTAGAGCCAGACTTCGATATGGGCTGTTCCACATCAACCATTGAGTCCGACGTCAACAAAGATGAAAAACTGAATGCTTTTAGAAAGACTGCTTCAAACAAGGGGCCTAACCGTGGTTCAGGTAAGGGAACTGTTGTCCACCTCCCCAAGAATGCAAGGATCCCTGAGAAACCGGAGGATGCATTTACCAAGCCTTGGGAAACCCTCCGTATCAGTCAGAAAGAATGGGAAAGAAGATCTAAACTGCACATATGCCTGCATTGTCAAAAGCCTGGGCATGCTGTGCAGGACTGTTTTCGACTGCAGGGAAACAAGCAAAGAGCGTAGAGGAGTCCTCAGCACTCCCTACAACAAGGGAAGCTGAAACATCAGTTGCAGGCCTCTCCGATGAGCCTGAATCTGATCAACAGCCCACTCATGAAGCCCGGAACGACGCTGAATCCAAGGCTGCTGCAATTCATGTGCTATACACTGAGCCTTGGGAGGAGTCTAAGGAAGTTGACTTCCACGCTCACATGGAACACTGGCTGCAGCTCAAGCAGCAACGCCGTGTTCAAGGGAGTGTGGAGCTAACCTTCTTTAAACTACTCATTAACCGCCGATACATCCGCGTGCTGATTGATAGTGGTTCAACCACTAACTTCTTTTCTCCTAACGGGATTCGTAAGGCGGGCCTGGGAATGAAGCAAGTGGAACTGCAGAACCCTTGTTAGACCCAGGTGGGCAACCAAGAGGTTGTCACCTCTACACATGCTGTCAAAGGTTCCCGTCACCTTTGACAAAGACCGCATTGTCACACATGAGCTCAACTTTTATGTCATGGACAAGTGTCCGTTCGACGCGGTCATTGGCTTGGGCTGGTTAAAGGCTCATTGCCTAAGGACCACGTGGGCGGACAATCAGTTCGTGGTGCGTGATGCCAAGGGGAACGAGCGTACCGTCCTATTGGATGAGACGAGCAAGTCCCCTGTGACTCTTCTAAGTGCGAACAAATTCTGCAAATCAGTGCGCACGCGCAAGGAGGTTGAGCATGTACATATAGCCTTTGTAAAGCCTCTCCATGTGCCTTCTACTTTTGCTGCATTTTCTACCTCGATAAGTAACTCTACTTCTACCACCTCTACTTCTAATCCATCTACTTCTACTGTGAATAATCCCTCTACTTCTGATCCAAATACTTCAAATCCGGTTGTAATTGCTGTAAATTCTCGAACTGATTTTCTTTCTCCTGATGAGGATGATCCTCCACCGGAAGTCCCAACAAACATTCACCAGCTATTAAATCGATTTCCTGAAGTTCTGGCCGAACCTCGTGGAGTTCTCGAGCGTCCGGTCAAACACAAGATCGAGATAATAGAAGGGAGTGTTCCTCCCAAGGGTTGCGTCTACCGTATGGGACAAGGCGAGCTGGGAAGAGTTGAGGAGGCAGATTGATGACATGATCGACCGTGGATGGATTAGGCCTAGTGAGTCTGAGTTCGGTGCACCTGTCCTGTTTGTGCCAAAGAAAGGAGGCAAACTCCGGATGTGCATTGACTATCGTGGCCTAAACCGTATCACCCGAAAGAACGCGTATCCCTTGCCTCGTATAGATGATTTGCTAGATGCTGCAGGTGGGTGCAAGGTCTTCTCCAAGATCGACGTCAAGTCTGGCTACCACCAGATTGAAGTTGATCCGAGTGACCAGCACAAAACTGCATACAAACACGCGATGGGCTGTACGAATTCATCGTTATGCCCTTCGGTCTTACGAATGCACCAGCCACATTTCAGAGCCTCATGGACAGGGTACTCCGCCATCAGCTCAACAGGTTTGTGGTTGTGTACCTTGATGATATTCTGATTTTTAGCAAGTCCATGGAAGAGCACCTCAAGCACCTTGAGGAGGTCTTGCAGGTCCTCAAGGAGGCACAACTGCACCCTAACTTAGAGAAATTTGAGTTCGGAAGGGACAGCGTCATCTATCTTGGGCACCGGTTGTCTGCAAACGGCCTTGAGCCGGAGGCAACCAAGGTGGAGGTCATACGAAACTCGCCTCAACCAGCGAACGTACGCGAACTGCGTTCTTTTCTTGGTTTGGCTTCGTACTACCGGAAGTTTGTGCTGAAATTTTCTGTCATTGCTCACCCACTCTCAAGACTAACCAGTAAGAATGTTGTCTATGCGTGGTGTGAGAAGTGTGAGACTGCGTTCCAAGCCTTAAAAGAGGCATTGGTGAGTCATCCTGTGCTCCGCATTGCGGATCCCAACCTCACGTTCGTAGTCACTACGGACGCGAGCCAGTTTGGGATTGGTGCAGTGCTGCAACAAGATGATGGTGATGGCTTGCGTCCGCTTGAGTATTACAGCAAACGCATGCCCCACGAGGTAGCAACTTCCACATACATGCGTGAGCTCTACGCCTTGCGCGAGGCGCTCACACATTGGAAGCACTACCTCATGGGTCAGCACTTCAAGGTCTACTCAAATCATCAGACCTTGCAATGGATTAAGACACAAACTGATCTCTCTCCTACGCTGACCCGCTGGTTGCATGACATTGATGTGTACAATTTTGAATTGAAACATAAGGAAGGCTGTTATAATCGCGTTGCTGATGCTTTGTCGCGTCACCCTAAGTTTTTTACTTGCCTTGTGGGTTCGTATGACCTCCGAAGGAAATTGAAGGAGGATCTGGTCGAACACACCGCCAAGGATCCGGACCTTAGTCCCATCCTTGAGCAGCTCAAGGCTGACCCTAACAGTCAGCCTGATTTTCATGAGTGCGAGGGTCTTGTATTCCACCGGTATGGGAAGTTTGATCGTTTGTGTGTACCCAACCATGCGCCTCTCCAGACCCATTTCTTGGATTTGGCACATGGTCGGAGTGGACACTTCGGCTTTGAGAAGACTTATGGAAGCCTGCTGCAGCAGTTTGATTGGCCAGGAATGAAAGGATCCGCTCAGAAATTTATTGCTGAATGTCAGGTTTGCCAAAGAACCTAAGTCCACAGGCATAAGCCTTACGGATGGGCCCGGTGAGTCGATTTCCATCGACTTCACGGACCTGGGAAAGGTGAGTGAGGCTGGAAATTCACAAGTCATGGTCATCGTGGACCGTTTTTCCAAATTTCTGAACTTGATTCCTTTCCCTCCCCATGCCCCGACTGAACTGGTCATTGAAGAATTCCATCAGCAGGACTGGCTGAGGAGATCAACCAGAATGTCATCCAACTACTTCGCGCATTGATTGTTCCAGATCAGAACACGTGGGACAAGGAGTTGCACAAAGTGAAGGGACTGTACAACAACTTCATTCACTTTGCAACAGGTGTGACACCAAACCAGTTGCAATATGGATGGTCGATGCGTAATCCCCTCTCCTATCTGTTCCCCGAACGGTCACCTGGTCTGATGCCCGGCATGCCTGGCTACAATGCCAAGTACGCACGCTTGCTCAAAGCTGTTATTGCAGCCATGAACAAGCGCCAGCATGCCATGATCAAACATGCTAACAAGTTGCGCAARGAAGAAAAATTCAAAGTAGGGGATTATGTTTGGGTTMAAATRTCTGAGTTTTCTGATGAAGAGGGCATATCATGAAAACTCCTTCCATTGTACTATGGCCCTTGGCAGATTCTGAAGGTGATTGGGGATGATTTTGGTCATTCATATGTGATTGACGTGCCTCCTCATCTGCGCACGTATCCGGTCTTTCATGCGTCCAAACTGTTTCCACATATTGATGATGAGACGTTTTCCTACCGAGACCCTATGATACCTCGCCCTATCGACGACGGCCATGAGATAGACACAATCGTTTCTCACAAGGGAAGAGGGAGGAACAGACAGTACAAGGTTCACTTCCTCTATCATTCGTTGACGGAATTTTTCTGGATCGACCGAAAAGAGCTGCTAAAGAGTGTTCCCCGTGTTGTGAACGCTTATGAACGACAGATCGCTGAGGGACAGACTGCTAAATTTGTTGCAAAGATGACTCCTCACGGACTTACTGAGTCTCTCCTTCTGATTTACTCCTACGATGCATTTTGTGCCAACTCTGAATGAGTTACTCGCTCGAAGGGACCTCGCTCTTGAGGGGGGGGTAATGTAATGACCTGCCAAAAACACAGACTGAGAACTCTGCTGATTTATGAGATTTGCCGCTGGAATGAATGCCTTGTTGAAATTCCCGCATTCTGCTGTGATTTCCATGTTTGTGTGTGTGTGTGTGCCTGCTGGTTTGCATGCCTGTCTGAGTGTTTGTCGGTTGAGTGTGTGTGTGACCAACAAGGGTACTTGTTGGTTGCAAGGCCCCGCAGGGCCGGTACTTACCTGTGGTCGTGACTGTGAAGGGTTGCAGGGGGAAAACACTCGAGTAGCGG